GAGCATTTTAGTTTAGAAACTGTCGGGGTCAGTACTTCCTAACTATGTGAGAAAGTATAGTTTTATCCTTGCTTTATTGGTTTTATGGATCTGAAGCTTCTACAATGGGAGAAGCATGTTTATGAAAAAGAATGCAAAATTAGAAAATTGGTGTGCACAGTCATTTTTTTGTTTTTTTTTTTTTTGTTTTTTTTGTTTTGTTTTGTTTTGGTTTTTTTTTCTCCGGTACCGGGAACCGAACTCACGACCTTGCGCTTGCCAGGCAGGCGCTTTTGCCGCTGAGCTAAATCCCCAGCCCCGTGCACAGTCATTTTTGCACAGATCTTTCAGACCTTATTTTTTTGAGACAGAGTCTCACTGTGTACTTCAGGGTGGCTTTGAACTCACTGTGTAGCCTGGGCTGGCCTCAAGCTCACAGCAATCCTCCCGCCTCAGCCTCCCAAGTGCAGGGATTATGGTCATTTGCCACCATGTCCAACATTTTTGTTTTTTGTTTCTTTCAGACTTTTTTAATTGTTGGAAACTATTAGAAAAATTAATAAAGGATTAGTGATGAGAAAAAAAATCAGAACAAATCACACATTTTAAAAAAGCAGAAAAATACCACAAACAAAACAGTCAGGTAATAAATTCATTACCTTTTTCACTATGTAACTTCCTGAACTTCTGTAATACTTTCCCCTTGTAGTTTTGGCTTCGTACTCTTTGTTTCCTCATGTGAAAATGATTTGGGAATATCATTTTCTAGAAAGTACATTTTTTTTTTGGCATGATCAAAACATTTTTATTAGCTGTTTAAGGAAGTTTCTTCAGCTTCATGGACTTTTTACCGGGAATATTGGAGACTGAACCTGGGGTCGTATGCATCCTGAGCAAATATTCTTCCTCTGAGCAACATCCCCAGCTCTTGGGAATATGCAACTTTTAAGGGTGGCTGTGAAATCTAGGACACCCTCTTGACATTTCTGTATGAGCTAGACCAAATGTTAGTAGTCCCGATGAATTTAATTTTGTGTGATGTGTTTCCACAGAAAGGATGGGCTTAGCCATAATTCTAATCATTGAACTATCAAGAATATTCCTGACAGTAGATTTCTTTTTCACCAAAGATTAATAAGAACCAAGTTCTCTGTTTATAAATATCCACTTTGGTAGATTGGAAGACTTTTCCTCAGGCTAGCTTCTGGTGCTCTGTATCATTAACCTTATTTTGTCTACTACTTGTGTGCTCTTTAGCTGTGTCCCAGAGCATCTATTTATATTATAATAAAAGTGCTGGCCCTGTTTCTCCCTGTCATGAAGCTCGCTAACTCAGGCCAGTAGGCAGTAGGAATATTCTCGGAAACTCTTGCTATGTAACATCACTAGCACAAGAATTCCCTGGAAACCTAACCAAGCGTATCCCCGACTCAGCTTCTGCTTAACGCCAGAAGCCCACAGTGATGGCGGGGAAGTCATCACAGAAAACCTGTCAGAGGCAGCAGTTTTAACCACCTGCTCTAAAATATCTTACTTTGCAAGTTGTACATTGTATGAAGGTATTGCTAAGGCCCCTCCTAGGCCTCAGAGGAGGCTTGTGCAAGAGAAAGTCCCTGAGCTTTAGCATCATTAATTTCAAGGCAAATCTGCCTCAGCATGGTCAATGTGAAGAGAAAGTTTTTATAAAAGTCTGAAAACACAGTAAGAACTCAACAAATATTATCTGCTATATATTACCAATATAGTAGACAGGTAAGTAGAGTAGACTTGGAGGTCCTGCAAACAGATCCCATTATAGACAGAGATACCTATAAAGATACTGGATGAAGATACACTTCATATTAATGGGTAAAATATGGAATTCTTCAGAAAAGTTTCTTAAATATAGTATATTTAATGTATTGGAGTTAGATTATATATTCACTACCTATATATCTGAAAGAATAAAGCTGTATATTTAAAAAGATGAGGAAGAGAAGGAAAAAACAAGGTCAAACTATAAAAGAACCAGAATAAAATTCAAGTGATAATTATCTGTGTTTGGGCGTGTGACATAAAACCAAACAAAAAAAAAAAAAAAGAAGAAAGGAAAGGAAAAGAAAAGAAAAACAAAAAAAATTTTAAATAAACCCAATTAAACACTCATCATAGATATATATATATACACACAAGATAGCTAAGATAATTATATTTCTAATTTCTATTAGTTCATTGAAAAGAAAGGTTTGTGCTTATATTGTTTGATAATTTTTCATGCCTACATTTTGTAATCTGCCTCTGCCTCTTGAGTGCTGGGATTACAGGTGTGAGCCACCATGCCAGGCACATCCTTCTTTTTTAATTTGAGGGAAAAAAAGAGGTTGGTTTTTTTTTTTCTAAGTAAAAATACTGTGAGATGAGACTACATAAACATTTTGAATGAGTTATCTGTCATGTAAGATGCCCTTCATTTCCCTGACTTCCTCTGAAATGCTGTCAGCTCTCACCTCTCATTTAACTAAATTCTATTTAATTTGGTTCAACAGTAATTGCAAGGTACTAGGGATCAGATTACAAAATGACGAGAATATAAACTGGGCATGGTGAACACCTATGACCCCACCACTCCAGGAGACTAAGGTGGTAGGATTCCAAATTCAGCCAAGATTTTAAATTTTAAATCCAGCCTGAGCAATTTAGTAAGATATTGTTTTAAAACTTTCACAATAAAATTTTTTTTAAAGGGATAAGGGGCCGGGTGTGGTGGTGCACACCTGTGATCCCAGCACTTGGGAGGCTGAGGCAGAAGGATCACTGTGAGTTCAAGGCCAACCTGGGCTACAAAGTGAGTTCAAGGCCAGCCTGAACTGCATAAGAGAGACCTGTCTCAAAAAAAATTAATTAATTAAAATTAAAATAAAATTAAAAATTAAAAAAATAAAGAGAGAAGGATGTAACTCAGTATAAAGGCCCTGGGGTCAATCCCTAGTAATGCAAAAAAACAAAAACAAAAACAAAAACAAAAAAATAGAAATAAAAACCTGACTAGAATAGATTGCTTGCACCAGAGGAACTTTTATAATTTAGCAGGAGGGAGAATACCACTGGGGCCTTGTTCAGCTAGAAATATTTCTTTTCCTATCTTCTAGATTTCTTTAAAAATATACAGCTATTTGCCATATCCTAGAATAAATTTAACTTTTTTTATGGAGCTCTTCTTTCTTTCTTTGTCACTGCTTTCTGGAATCCAGCCTAGGAAAGGAATATATGTCACTATGTGTGGTAGTTTATAATTAGAACAAATGTGCGCACCTACAAGAAAAAGACCTACTGGCAAAAAAAAAAAAAAAAAAAGTAAAACTTTAGAAAAGGCAGTTAGGAGACAGATGGAGGAAGAGACCTATTTTGGAAAATAATGCCCAAGAAGAGAAGAGATTTTTAAAGCCTTTATGATTTGTATATTCTCAGGGAATGCATAGCAAGCTAGCTGCTACTGGGTGACCCTCTCTTGAAAGGGTGAGTATTGTAGATATAAATAGACCCTAAGGGCAGAAAGACTTTTGCCTGTGTCCTTGCCCAGGCCACGGCTCTGCCCTGCCAGGAAGAGCTCCAGGCAAAGAGAGGGAGTAGCCAAGCAGGGGTCTGCCCCGAACACCACTGTGCTAACCCAAGGTGGGGCAGTCTTTTTCCAAGAGTTCTGGGCCCCTAGGGTCATATTCTCACACGTGACCTCTTCCCAGCTGAGAAGTGGCACTTTGCAGAAAGATGTGGTTGACTTAAACCCTGCAAACCAACATGCTTCCCTTTCCAGGAGTTTCTGAAAGCCGGGATCCTGTAAAATCCTCACGGCCTTCCTAAGTCTGCCGTGTGTGTGTGTGTGTGTGTGTGTGTGTGTGTGTGTGACTGGAAATTGAATCTGGGCCTTTGCACTGAACTACATCCTTAGCCTCTTAAAAAAAAAAAAAAATTGTTTTTTTATTTTGAGACAGTCTGGCTAAATTGCCCAGGCTGGGCTTGAACTTGTCATCCTCCTGCCTCAGCCTCCCAGAGTACTGGTGTGCCCCACCATGCCTGGCTTCTGAAACTGTTATATTATAGTTTGTCCTACTTTTTTGTGACCCCATAAAAGCATGCATTTTCTTTGCCCAGTATAACTGAACTAAATGTTAGATTATTTAAGTAACAAAAGTACTCCTGGGGATTGTCAAATAAAGAGGCATGGGGAGGGGAGACAGATTTGTTAATTAAATAAGTAAAAGTCAGGGCACGCTGAGCAGCTTGTTTAGAAGGCATAATAACCCAGGTGCTTAAGTGTCTAGATTACTGTTTCTGGTCATCAATTTTTTTCTCCTTTATTTTTTTTCTTCCTCTACTCCTTCCTTCTCCTCCTCTGTTTCCTCCCTTTCTCTGATGTACTTTTAACAATTTCTCCTTTACAAATTCCATTTCTCTTTCACTCTGGTCTCATCTGACAAGGAGAGAAGGCAGAAAAGCAAAGAGCAAGATCACACATTGTGAGCTGGGTGTGGTGGTGCACCCCTGTAATCCCAGCACTGGGGAAGCTGAAGCAGGAGGATCGCTGTGAGTTTGAGGTCAGCCTAGGCCACACAGCAAGACACTGTCTCAAAAACACGCACGTACACACACACACACACACACACACACACACACACACACACCATGGAGGGACATGATTTAGGCTTAAACTCTGGCTCCCCCTGTTTATCGGCTTTGCGTGATTTGCTTGGCCTCTATGCCTTGAAATGTGACTGTAAAATGCAGATTAGAAAATGTGCTGTATAAGTTGTTATGAAGATTAAATAAGATAACGTCATAAAGGCCTTAGGACAGGTCCTGGCACAAGTAAGAGCTTTACTTAGATGTTTTAAAATAACACACATCCAGTTGTTTTAAAATATAAATGTCTTTGAGCAAATTAGGAGTAGAGACATTGGATTGGTGAATTTTCTGAGACTCTGAAGACCTGCAAACGTCTTGGGTTTTTTGTTCTGGGGATGTCAGCTTTGCTGAGAAAACAGCTCTTCACGGTGAATGTCTCTCTGCCCCGTCCTGCACTGAGCCTCACCCTTGTTCCTAGGTAGCAGGCTTTGGCTGGCTCCTCTAGGGAAGGAAAAGTGACTTCAGTTACACTCATGAAAGTTCTCTGCTCTTTCTGGTGGGAAATTGCAAAATGTTTGCAATTCAAAAAGACTAATGTGTCCATCTCTGACTTCAATTTGATTTGTTTCTATTTGTAGCCCGGCTGCCCTTGAATTTGAGATCCTTCTGCCTCAGCCTCTGGAGTAGCTGGGATTACAGGGAGGTATCACCTTCCAAGGCTCTGATTGAAATGTTTTGGTTTTTACTTCTTTTGTTGTTTTTTTTGAAACAGCGTCTCACTATATAACCCAGGCTGGTCTCAAACTCGCATTAATCCTTCTGCCTCAGCCACCCAAGAGCTGGGATTACAGGTGTTCGCCACCAGGCTTGGCTTGTTTTTACTTTTTATTATGGAAAATTTCATGCTTATACAAAAATGGGAGGATTCCATGACTTAATAAAGACTGTTTCCAGATCTGTTTTCCCCCTTATCTTTTGTTAGACCTTTAGCTGTTGAGTGCTAGCAGTCAGGACACTTGAGGTTCCTGAAGCCTGGAGTTTGATGCTTTGAATATTGTCTTTTCCCTCCGTGTGATGATGCTGAGGAAGCCCAGATTTGGGGTTTGGTTTAGTCATTTACTGCTTATAGTTTTATTCATTTTCCCTAAGCCTATTTCATTATTATTTATTTATTTATTTATTTTTGAGACAGGATTTCGATATGTAATTCAAGCTGACTTTGAACTCACTATGTAGCCCAAATTGGCCTCGAGTTCATAGCAATCCTCATGCCTCAGCCTCCCAAGTGCTGAGATTACAGTCATGTGCCACCATGCCTGGGTCATCATTTTTTAAATGAAGACAATAATGTGCTCCTTGTTAGATAATTGTGTAGATTAATTCAGTTCATACTGTATTTCATCAACTCCAGGACACCATTGGTTAAAAGATGTATCAATATTTCATATATCACTAAGAAATAAAAAAGACTCCCAATTAAACCAGCACATAATACTTTTTAAAAGTCACCTAAGATTTTAATTTTGTATTTATTGAAAAGATTATTCCAGATTTACTTAGAACTATATTTGTATCTTCTATCACTCTTACAGAATTTCATTAGTATTTTCTATTTGCCTAAACCTATATAATTTTATTTTTTCTGCCATTGAGTCACAATTGTAAGATGCATTTGGATTTGGGAGATGTTAAAATGGGAACAAATATACATTTAGAATTGATGAAATATGCTATATGCAAACCAAACTGCTTACAATAGGAGTAAAATGATTTTTCTCCTATTTCTCCTTTCTGTATGCTTTCTTCTGTAGAGTTCTCTTTTGCTCAGACTATTTCTCTAGTTAAATTGTTTTGCTTATTGATTTTTAGCCATGTGAATTTTGATTTCCTCTTCCTCTAATGATGACTTTAAGTAATCTTGTGGATTTTTCTATATGAAAAATTTAAAATCTTGGCCTATTATTCATGTGTATTTGTCCTCTTTTATCTCTTTTATAAATAGTGAGCTGGACATGATACAAGAAATCCATTCTAAACTGAAACATGAAAAACATTTAAAAATTCCTATTGGAGGGCCCAGGATATAGCTCAGTGGCCTAGCAAGCATGAGATCATGAGTTCGATTCCTGGTACCACAAAAAAACAAACAAAAAATTCCTATTGGAGTAGGCAAAAACTTCCTTAAAAAAGGAAATAAAAGCTTTAACCATAAAAGAAGAATGGATACATTGCACTGTATTAAAATTAAGGACCCCCCCAAAAAATAAAATAAAATAAAATAAAATAAAATAAAATAAAATAAAGGACCCAGCTGGGCATGGTGGCTCACACCTGTAATATCAGCACTCCAGGTGGCTGAGGCAGGAGGAGCACCATGAGTTCCAGGCCAGCCTGGGCTACATAGTGAGTTCAAGGCCAACCTTAACTACATAGAGAGACCCTGTCTTAAAATTTAAAAAAAAAAAATTAAATTAAATTAAATTAAATCTAAAAATTAAAAAAAAACACAGCTGAATGTAATGGCACATGCAAATGAAGAGAAGGGAAAGGGAAGCCACAGACCAGGAAAAAATATTTGTAATACATAGATGGGACAAAGTAGTAGGAATCAGAGTAAGAAAACTAATAGAAGAAAAGGGGAAGTGGTGCATGCTTGTAATCCCAGAACTCTGGGAGACGGAAGCAGGAAAATTAAAAGCTGGAGTCCAGCCTGGGCAACTTAAAGATCCCTGTCTCAAAATAAAACATTTAAAAAGGGTGGGGGTATAGCTCAGTGAAGAGGCCCTGAGTTCAAGCCCTAGTACTGGGGGAGAACAGAAAGGAAGCTAGCACAGTAGAAAATGGACAAGAGACTTGAAGAGGCACTTTGTGAAAAAGGTTGTACAAATGGGCAAGAAACACACAGAAAATGTTCAACATAATAAGTTATCAGGGAAATGCAAAATGAGATCAGGAGGAAATATTGCTACACTAGAACCACAATGGCTAAAAATTAAGTGGCTGACAGTAACAAGTGTTGACAGGGATGTGGATCAATGAGAATGTTCATACACTCCTAGTGGGAGTGTAAACTGATGAAAGTGTTTCTTGACACTGTTATTAACCAAGACCTATGTCCTCAAGATGTTTTACTTGTTTATTTCTTAAAGTTACATATTATAGTTTGACATGTACATCTTTCATCCATTTTGAACTAATTTTTGTATGAGATGTGAGGATTAGGTGATGGTATTAGCAGTTAAAATGTGGAAATGACAAGAGGCATGGCTCTGATACAAAACCAGAAATATGGACCAGTGAACAGAATAGAGGAAGCAGAAACAGCGTCAAACACATTTGTCTATTTGATTTTCAACAAAGAGGCAGAAAACATACACTGGAGGAAAGATAGCCTCTTTAATAAATGGTGTTGGGAAAATTGGATATCCACAGGCCGAAGATTGTGTCTAGATCCATATCTCTTGCCATGTACTAAGCTAAAATCAATATCAATCAAAGATCTAAATGTTAAAACAGAAAGCCTTAGTCTGCTGGAAGATAAAATAGGGAAAACTCTTAAAGACATAGGGATAGCAATGTACCTTCTGAAGAGAACCTCAATTACAGAATAAATAATACCAAGAATCAACAAATGGGATCATGTCAAATTAAAAAGCTTCTGCACAGCAAAGGAAACAACCAAGAGTAAAGAGACAATCTACAGAATGGGAAAAGTTTTTGCCAGCTATTCCTCAGACAGAGAACTAATACTTAGAATAGATAAAAAGCTAAAAAAAATTAGATCTCCTAAAATAAAAGATGCAATCAAAAAATGGGCAAGCAAAATGAACAGACAATTCTCAGAAGTACTAATGGTCAATAAATACATGAAAAAATGTTCAGCATCTCTGGTCATCAGAGAAATGCAAATTAAAACCACACTGAGTCAAGATCAAAATCATATGTGAAATAAGCTAGATGTACAAGTGTAAACATCATATTGTATCCCTAGTATAAGAAGCTGAAAGAGTAAATAAGATCCAAAATATACAACAGATATTGTAAAATGGGGAGAAACTTCGAAAGGAAAGAGAAATTTGGATGAGGAAGTGGTGAAAAGAAGAAAGGGAAATACAAAAAATATATATATGTATATATATATGATAGTAAAGGTAGTTATACTACTAATTTCTCTTCATTGAAATAAAGGTTTGTGCTAATGTTGTTTGGACAATTACATGTCAATATCTTGCATGCTGAGTAACTAAAGATAACAGTATGCATGTATTAACCATTGTTACCCTCTTATTGTCTCATTTTGAAATTTTGTGGTTTTTTTCTCTTTAAAATAAAAAAAAAACTACACTGAGATTTCATCTTACTCCAGATACCATCAAGAAATCAAATAACAACAAATGCTGGTGAGGCTATAGGATGTGGGTGGGGAGAAGGAATCCTGCTACATTGGTGGTGGGAGTGTCAACTAGTATAACTACTGTGGAAATCATTATGGAGATTCCTCAAAAAAACTAAAACTAAAAATTCCATTTGACCCAGCTATTCCCCTTCTAGGAATCTTCCCAGGAGTTAAAGTCATCATATTACCGTGATACATGTGTACTCATGTTTATATCAGCTAAATCTTGGAAGTAGTCCGTATGTCCTTCAACAGATGAATAGGTAAAGAAAATATGGGGTCTATGCATGATGGAGTCCTACTCTGCCATACAGAAGGATAAACTTGAGGCATCTGTAGGTAAATAGATGCACCTTGAGACCAAAATGGTAACTGAAATAAGTAAGACACACAAGTTTAAATATCACATGGTTTCTCTTGTGTGAGAAATCCAAAATATAAAGAGAAAAATAAAGGATAGAGAGTGGGATGTAGGGACATCTTTTTCAAATGGAAAGGGGATCAAGAGGAAGGGGAAAGGAAGGAGGAGAAAAGGGATTTTAAAAAAGAATCAAAGAAAAAACTGGAGGAGGCTTAGGGTTAGGAGGAGCAGGCATTTGACCTCCTCTTCAAGGTGACTGGCATACAATTGTCAGGCCGGGGAGGAGATGTAGTGTTCCCTGTTGAGCCTCTTTTAGCTCCACGAATGCAGAATTGAGAGCCAGCAGCCCTGCCATGGGTCAGCTGGGTGGGGGTAAGGTGACCCCACTGTCGGGACCTCCTAGTGATTCACTGCAGCTCACGGGGCCCAGGAAAGCCAAGGGGAGGCTGAGCGAGCTGGAGAGCAGCTATAGGTCAGACTGACGGTAGAGCTGTGGACACCAGGACACAGGGCCAGGCAAGCTGCATGTCCACTGTCCACAGGCTGACATTCAGGAGGCCCAGAGTGAGGCCTGGGGCTCTCTGTACCCACAATATCCTGGGGCTATCCATGTCCTCTTGGTGTACTCAGCGGCTACCTTAGCGATAAGCTGGGAGAAGAAGGTGGAATGAAGGAACTGAGTTATTCTGCCTATGAGATGGCCTTACTGAAGGGATTGCTTGCTTTCCTGCCTTGACCTAATTGTCCTGGAACAAACTAAGATATGTGTTTTCCATGTCACCTAATAGTTGGGACCTGATAAGATCAGATTGCTCAAAAATGAAGAAGCTGCATTTCTTCAGTGCTTTTGAGTATTGCTTGAATACATTTGTGTTTTCTTTCTCTCTGTTGTTGATTTCATTTGATTTTACCAACCTGTAGACTTTTGTTGCTGCTGAAAGTAGTTCATTTTAGGAATTTTCCAGATTTTTCCTAATAGAGTTTGAGAAGAAAGCTCTTGGCGTTGCTACTCTCCATGCTACCCATTATCCATTAGTAACACAATTTTACAATTTTTCTGACTTTCAATCAGTTTGGCACCTAATCATCTACCCCACTCCAAAGAGCCATTTGTTGGAGCTGCTTGTCCAATGTTGAGAAAGAAGATCCACAAGACTTTCCTTGACCCCACACTCCCAATACAGACGAGGAACAGGTGACAAACACAGTTGCACCTTCTCCCTTCCCCAGCTGCACATGGGCTCGTTTTCACTCTTAGTGTGGAGACATTTTCATTGCTAGGCATTGTGCTAGGCCCTGGGTTTCTGAGTCTTTTGAAACAACTGTATTAGTCAGCTTTCTGTCAGTATAACAACTTTCCAAGGTAATCAGGCTATAAAGAGATAACGTCTTATTTGACTCACAGTTTTAGAGGTTCCAGTTCCTGATCAGTTGACCCAGTAGCTTTGGGACCATGGTGAAGCAGCATGTCATGGAGGGAGAGTGTGTGGTGAGCACATTGCTCAGCTCATAGCTGGGAAAAGAGAGGAAGAAGAAGGGTAGAATCTTACAATCTCCTTCAAAGGCACATGACTCATAAACTAAAGTCTACCCACGATGCCCACCTCTGCAATGCTCCTCCAATTCCTCATAGCCCTTTTCTGGGAAGCAAGCCTTCACCAGGGACCCTCATGGGACACTGAAGATCCAAAACTACAGAACTTCTAGTCTTTGAGAGCTTTCTTGCTTTGTAGCATGTCAGGATGGAAACTGTTATGGTTGATACAT